AGTCCCGTCAGACACCATAAAAGCCTTTGCACAGTAAGTCAAATTCAAAGGAGTCTCTCTCTGTTTCTGTCGGTGTGTTGTTAGATGTGTGTTTCCTTTCAGGCTGAGCGATTGAGTGGTTTTACATGCCAGTGCTTTGTTGTATGTACAGAAAATTAAGTGCACCAGCAGCCCCTTTGAAGCCCTTTCAAATTTATTGTTGTTTTCCAGGAGAGGCGTATTTTACATTACAGCTCATTGTGAGTGGATCTGCTCCCTTGCTGTTTTTGGAGAGGGTTTATATTTTATGCCTGGAAATGAGGAGATGAATGTAGAACATTATGGGAGAGAATAGTGCAGCATCCCTGCCTGCAAAGGTCAGAGGTCATTTTGTGTTGGCAGCATCTTTTACTGTATCTTTCTTTTTTGTTAGAAATTATCCCTAAGAACAAAAAAATCTAAACATGTAACTTAAAGATGTATTTCAGAGCTGCAGAAACCATACATCCTCCAAGCTCCAGTTGTGTGATGTAGATGTAAAATGGTGAATTAACTCCAACCACCTTTCCTCCTCAAGGCCTGTATGTTTCTAGCAGGTCTAGTTTATTTTCAGTCTGATGTTAAAATAGGTTGGTAAATAGGTAAATCATCTCTCCTAGTCGCTCTTTTTTTACATGCTAGAGAAACAAAAAGAGCCCCATTTGCTTCTCCCATATCTCTTTACTTTCATGAGAAAAAGACACCTCACAGCAGAGCACCTTTGCCTTGTCTCCGATGAACGAGAGTTTCACCTTTCCCTCCAGCACTACAGAACTGCATATGTGCAGAAACAGGTGCACCATCTCTGCTGCAGCATCAGTACATTATATATTTTTAAATTAAACATTGGTGTTAAAGGTTAACTTATCCAACATTGAGTTGAATATTTCAGTCTGCATCAAAGTGGTGCACCAACCAATTGGCCTACCCACTAACACACTGACAGACAGGCTAATGCTTCTGTTGTGGATACAAATCAATGTCTGTATATAAAAATGGACAACACATGTCCACTTTCTCTCATTGTACAAAGATGATGCCAATATCTTGGAAAATGGGTGCTGCCATCTTACATTTTGATGTCATTTGGAGCCAGACTCTGTGCAGTAGTTATTATTGAGATGGTATCAATGTCCTGTTGATGCATAGACTCGATCTATTTGAGGTCAGTCTCAGTCAGTCATGATTCACCATGTTTTTATAGTCTCAAATAACTAATTAAAAACCAAACTTGCTGGAAAACACTTGAACATACATCAGTGTTGTAAGAACTACATAGAGTGACAGAAATGATCTAAAATGTATTGAAAATGTACTTTGCCTTTTTAGTTTTGTTCAGGTCCCATCTGCTATGGAATCTGGGTTCATGACCTGTACTACAGCCAGCCACCAGGGGTGATTCAGAAGGTTTGGTTTAAAATTTTGGGAAAGTGTCGTCCATCTTCACATACAGTTTATGATAAAAATCAAACAATTTGTTTTATTGTTAGTAAGACTATGCAAAACCTTGGTTCAGTGCTCATTTAAATGTGTATTAAGGGACCAATGGTAGCTACGCGACTGAGTCGTGATTCCCGTGCCTGTACCATAGAGTGAGGGAAGCTCTTTGCTTTGAACCTGTATCACAAGGGATTACTGCTAAGGTTTGCACAACACAGCAGACAGGAAGCTGTTAAAGACAAGGACCAACACTCCATCCAAACCTTTGACCCCTACACCCTGACCTCTCCTGCAATCTGACATGAGCCCTTGTCTACATGAAAGCTGTCCTGTTGACTCACCAGTGCTAATTTAGAGTTCCGGTGCCCCCAACCACTGTGAGGACAGACAGTCAACATGCTGGCTCCTAGACTTGTGAGGAGAACAACTTAAGACAGACTTGTTTGGCTCAATGCAAAATAATGGAAACATGCCCACAGTGTAAACTCTTGTTAACTTCCTTCAGGCTTGACATTTTTTCCAGATAATCTGATATAAAGCTGTGCTGATACTAAAAAGTTTGTGATCTCTTTTGATCTCCATCATCGCTCAAAGTTGACATCAAAGTCAGACAGCAGTTTGGCCCGTTCACCACTTCTGTCCACAGCCGCATGGTGTTATTACAGTTAATATTAGCCCGTCGCTGAGAGCTTCACATGTCTGCTGATGAAGTCCTTTAACAAGTCTAACAAAGGCTAACCTCACACTGTGCCACCCACCACCAGATAAAGAGATTTAGATCGTTACTTGCTCCTTTTTAAGTATCATCAAACATCAGCCCTTTAATCATTCCAAGTGTGTGACCTTCAGGTTCACAGCTCTAAGTGTGACTGACAGATCTTGTGAGGGTCAATGCTGGAGTATTTTTGTATCACTGCATTTGATGGGACCTAAAAATAGCGTGCTCCGCTGACCTCCTGTCCCCAGCATTAATTTGTCGTTCAAGTCCAGTTCCTCCCCCCCCCCACCCACACACACACTCTTTTGACATCACCGCAACTAGCTTCTTTATTTTTAGGTGCTCCCAAAATTAATTGAACGGTCTTGTTTCGTTGAGTTTGTGCAGTGTTATATAAGGGGATTACTCTGTTGTTATTGCCTATGCCCTGACCACGTAGGCCACCACACTGACGAGGGAGATGGAGACAGAGGGTAGAGGGGACTTTGGGTGGAAGAGGAGGGTAATGTAGTTAAGGTAGCAGTGCAGAGCTCCAGAAATAACCCAGCTGTGGGCCTAATTGTGCATCGCTCCTGCTCCCCTTTTCCCTCTTCAGCTGCATGCCAAGGTCTTTGACCTTATCATCCACCTCACTGGTTCCGGAAGAATCCTTTCCGCCCCCTGTGGCTACCAAAGCCCCGTCGATACAAAGAGCACAGCAGCAGACCATCTCCAGCCTCAGACTAACAGCCAAGCGCCACAACCAGTTAGGAGTGATCCCAGCAGAGCGCCCAAGTGGTTCAAACTGCCAGGTATGTTCTAATCATCCCCGGCATAGGCCCTGTGGCTCTTTAACAAAGCTAAGCCTTAGGACCCCAGGCCCCTCAGAGAGTCTCAGGGCCTCCGGGAACCTGGCATGTCGCAGACATATATACTGTCAGCAGAGATGTTGTATTCTCTCCACACACACAAGCTTTCTGTAAAACGTTTTGTTCACAAATAGACAATACAAAGAACAGATACAAACATTTCGACTAAACAACACAAAGACAGTACACCAGAGGTTACAGACAAAATATATACTGTAAAATAAGACAGTTGCTTGCTTGGAGTGCACTGCATCAATCAGTCCTTCGTAACAGTGCTTCTTTACTCTGCCTACAGGGTTTATATCTATTCTATTTATAACTGAAATAAAGCAGAGCCTTAAACTAAATGTCTCTTATTGATGTATTCTTTTATAAGTGTCCATGGCCCTTTTTACAGATAGGAATGCCAATATTATCAAACGTTGTGTTACTGCAGATTGTAAACCATCCATTTTATTTCTCAGCAAGCTTACGGATACTGAATTGTAAATGTTTGGAAGTTTTCCTGAGTGTACAAGTTGCGTGTGGAGCATCCTAGAAGAATGTGCTCGCTCTATGTCCCCTTCAGCATTCCTCCATGGTTAGACAGCTCTGTGCCCATGAGGGGGCCACAAGGGCCTCTTGTCTCCTGAGCACTAATGCATCACAGCCCCAGATTAAGCATAACATGCATGCAAGCACATACATCTGAGAACAGATGCACGCCATGGCATATTTATCATACATACAAGTACTCACAAATGTGTGCAATTGAAAGGATGGGGGCATATATGGCACCTGTAGCTTATTTGTGTATTATGATTTTCTGAAGGCAGATATTATTGGTCTACATATTTTCTAACAAATGTTTCAACCAGGTTAAAAAAAGAACCAGGTCTTACATTTTAAAAGAGCATTAATGATGGCAATGATGCAAGTGGTATTGTAGTAGTGTTTTTATGCACACATTATTGGTTAAAGTGAAAGCTTTATGTGCCATACACACCAGTAAGCTCTTATGTAGCTCATGCATTTCACATTTTGCTTGCTTGGATGTTGTTACATATATTTCAGAGATGCCAGCAGTCAGGGAAATGGTTGTATCATCAGTAGTCACAGATGGGACTTTAGTTTCAGAAGAAAGGAGCTTCAAGATGACAGAAAGTTGGAAAGATGTGACAAGCTGGGTCATTCTAACAGAGAAAAAACTGACTAGTGAGCGAGTAAATAAGGAGAGAAATCTGACATACTCCTAACATACCCTCACAGAAACTCTGAAGAACGATGCAGACGAGTACACCCCCCATCAAACATCACCCTTCACCAAGATTAGTTACCACACAGCCTTATCAGACTTCAGCTGATTCACGCCCCTATTTTTGCTTTCTGAACTTATAAATGGATAGTCCTTATCTTTATTTTTATCATGATGGTGCTTTTATTTTTAGAAATAATACCCAATTATCCAAACTATCCTAAGACGTTCAGGTTTTGTCCACAACACATCTCAGTCACATCAATAAAAAACCACAAATTTTACTTGACGTTCACATTAAAAAAGATAAAGAATCACCCTGGCAATCACTTGTGCATCTATAAAAATCGGCACCGATATTGATGGCTACAATTAGACAGACATATCGCAGCAGTGATGAGAACCTTAGCCCATGTGCAGTGGCGTTCAAAGCCCAGCCTGAGAGCTGGAGACAGATCAGTCTCCTGGGAAAAGCTTCTCACTCCGGAGCTTCTCCAAAGCGTCTGGACTGGCTGTCGACACTCCCTGCCTTTAATGTATGATCAAGAAAAGCTTTAACTCATTACTCTCTTCAATGCCCCTCCCCATTCTTGTCCTAACTGCTTTCGTATGTTTAATAATACTGCCTTCAGATGTAATTTGTTCTACTAAGATGCATAAGGAGAAACTCGTGCAGTAATGCACCACTTCGCCGGTGCAGAGAACTTCTGAAAACGTATAATCCGGACAAGAAAAAAAACAGTTTGGCCCAAGAGCACAATTATTTTATTTAATCTGCAAGGATTTACAAATCAACAGAAATGTTATACATTACAAAACATCTATACAAAATACACTTTTTAACAAAGGAGTCTGCTCGGGCATTTCATCTAAACAGCCAGCTTGTGAAAGCAATAGCTCTGCAATTTACAATATTTCACAAAACTAGGGGGCACAACTGCTATTAAGACTGTAATAATTAACCCAACAAATTATTTTCTTCAAAAAAAGTAGTTTTCTGTCCTAATGGTCCTTGTAGGATCATTAAAGTAAACATCACTCAACCAAACGTTCCTAAGGCCTGCTGTGGAAGTCACTCCTGGGAACACAAATCCAGTCTGGGCTCTACTCAAAGGTGCTGGGTCAAATTCCAGGTGCTGCGTCCTTGATCACCTATCCGATGCCTGGGCTCTAAGGTTTGAGCCCAAGTTGCTTCCAGCTGTACGTGAGCAGCATTTGTAAGCATAGTGAGTCACCCGAGAGCCACACAAATAAATAGTGTGAGGTGTTGTGCAGCTATGCTGACTCATAGTGAAGACACGTTGGTCTAATACCCCACTAGTGGAAAACCATCAGTGGCAGTTGGGTTAGAAAACCCCACATTACCCTCTTCCTTGCAGCCCCAGCATCCCCCTTTACTGTGATGAAAGGAGAGAGTGCACCTCCACTACTCACCTCTTTTGTTTATTTACCTTCAGAATTACACCCTGCTCCTCTTGGACCATGTTCCGATGTGTTTTGTTATGTTTCCTTTCAAACAGAATATCTATGCGTGTGGTCTCTTGCTATGTTTGGCTAACACATGCACACATTTGTGCATGCACACTCCCATTCAACTTTCCCCCTGTGCCTGAGGTCCCCTTTGCCCTTCCCCCCACCTCTAACTAAACATAGCAGGACAGCAAAAGGGAACTTCAAAGTGGCTGGAGGGGGTACTCCTTTTTTCCTGGCACTTGTCATCATCTAAGGGACTGGCTGCTCCCCTTATTACTCTAATTGCTTCCAACTGCTCCCGGAGGCTTTGATGAAGGGCGCCATGGAGCACGCTGGAAGCACCTGTTGTTGCACAGAGAAGAACAGGTGGGCCTTATTGGTGGTAGCAGGGAGGCGATTGGACAGCACTGCTGCTTTGCACATAAAAATAACCCAACTAATATAAAGATGGACAGAGAATTTCAATGTAATCTCTGATATGAGAGATAATGAAATTGCAGTTATACAAAAAAGATAAACATTGCTCATTAAACTAAACTACTTGCAATAGGACTGAAGTAGGGACACGCAGGCAGCACTCTGGCTCCATCTTGTGGCTTTGCTGTGCTAGAAGTCCAGGAGCTGCAATGCAAAAGAGAGGAAAAACCATGGGATTAATTTTGGAAAGGAAATATTTCCATGCAATAATGATATATGCGAGAAACTACATATTACATAAAGAATACAAGCCGATAGAGCCACTTAAACATGGAACTTCAGGTATCACCTTAATCAAAACATTGATAACAACACTAAATCTCACATGCTGATTGGTTGGTGTTGAACCTGAACCACTTTCATACTGTACATTTTTTCCCATGAATAAATCAACAACACATTATTAGCATTATTAAAGTTAGCAACTCAAAAAGAGGAAGACCTTTGAAAGAACTAGAGTGTATATCATAACAATAATTCAGAATTTAGGAACCAAACAAGAAAGCACCTAATGAAACTCTTCCTGTTCTGAACAACCAGGTAATGGCTTTTGCATTTCATGATTATAATTTGTGGCTCTGGAGTAACAAATGAAAACTGAATTTCTGCCTCAGTTCAGACCTGGTATCAACATCCATCCTGAGAGGTCTGATCACAACTGGTATATACTATATGCAAATAAACATGCATGGCATTTGTGTTCGCGAAGACCAAATGATGTTGATTTTACCCAGTCTGAGTGCATCCAATGAAAATGTTGGTGTGTCAGTATGTGTTGACGCGAGAGAGAGAAAGAGCTGGGTAAGGAGAGTCTGAGAGCCGGAATATATGAGCTGCAGATTTACTATGAAGAAAGATTTTGCCAATTTTAGAAAAGTAAGCAATCAATCGGTTTTGATATTGTAATGGTGGCTACAAACAAATCAAAATATGGGCCCTGAGAGGCTTAAAAATATGATTGATTCATTCTGGGTCAGAGGATGTAAGGTGAAAGGGCAGTCTTCATATGTGGCCCAGGACACATTTGTGTTAAAAAAGAGGAAAAAATGTGGCCACATGTGTCCTCATGTGATTTGATCTCAGGACACATTTGGGTGCATTCAGACTTAGCACTGACCACTTGTGCCCGGATCACTCAGGACACGTCTGAACGGTGTTGATGTACGCACCAGCTGAGGTAGGATCTTTTCAAAGTGCTCGATATCTACTTGATCACAGTCCTCAGATTCAGCTTGTTTCAGTGATCTCACGGCAGCTTCTGAAAATGAGATTGAAATATCAGTTTGGTCATTTATCGCTGTGTGTCAGACTTTTACACAACCGTGTCTCTTACCTTCCACAAACACTTTCAGCAGCTCGGCCATCAGCAGGGCAGCATCACCACTTACTGTAACAGAATGAGAATGGTTGAGTTGTAGAATTAAAAAGAAAACATAGAAACTATGGAGGTCACTTGTGTCAGGACAATATCTATACAACTCACGTTTGTTTTTCTCCTCCCTGAAGAAACCTTTCAAGAGTTTATCCACCGTGTCCTGTGAGTGAAAGGAATGAAACACTCAAGTGTATATGGGGATAATAATCTGCGTATTTTAAGGGTAAATACACACTCCAGAACTTTTACCTTTTTGTGGTGAGTTTTTAAAGACAGCTTTAGAGTTGTTGTAAAACCCACAGCAGGTACAAATATACACATTTACAAAGAAAGCTACAACTTGACATTTCAGACATATTACTGCTGGTTTGCAACCTGGTGGTGCGTTCAAGTACGTGTTGTCCTCGTACCAAACTCCATTTACTTAACTCGAGAGTTCCGTCGAAAGTAGTGAAGTAGAATTGTGACTACAAAGCGACACTCTGGTCGGTGACAATTTTTAATGAGAATAAAAAGATGCAAGAACAGACTGTAAAGGTGAGTGAATATCTGACTATGGAGAGCGATCGTTTAATTTTACCTTCCTGAAGCCAAGTGCTGCATCCTGCTGCTCCGCCATGTTTGTTCTGTGAGAGAAGCTTGGCGCTCTGCTTAGGGATTGGCCAGTGATCTCTGACGTCAGACGCAAAGGCTGACGTAGACGATAAAAGAAAAAAACCCGAAATAATCAACTTGTTATTTTACTTTACTTTAAATGAATGAATATTTTTATGTAACTGCTGTTATTATTATTATTATTGTTTTTTACTTGGCGAGGATTTGAAAACACGACATATAATTAGTGAATACTTATTTTGTACAATTTACAATCTGATTATCTTTCCATGTGCAATCATGTTTACTTGTTTTATATTACTGCTATTACTATTTTCTCATGTTTATATTGTATTACTTTTTTTTTATTGAAGCTTTTTATTGTTAGCATCCCATTTGCTGCTGAATTTCTGCAAATTTCCCCTATTGTAGGATGAATAAAGGATAATTTGATCCTAAATAAAGAGGTGACATAAGAGAGAAAGGAAATAAGGCAAAATGAACACAGAAGCTGTTGACACCATTCATGTGTTTATTTAAAAAAACAAAGAGAGACAAGTTAAGATCAGCATTGTGGGGAAATCATGAAGTTTATTTATGTATCATAATAATGATGAAAGTAAATCATGTATTCTCCAACAGTGGCTACATTAATGGCATGAATGTCTATTTTACTGCTAATAATGAGTACAACTTTATTTCCCATTCATGGTAGACAAACAAAACATAAACATATGCAAAATATGATTAATATGGTCCATTTCACCGCAATATACATCCAAGGCTTATAATCAGGTGAGTAAACAGTGTTCTATGCCATCCTGGGTATATATTTAAAAAAATATGTTTCTTTATTCTTCCAATTCATCATCTAACCACTGAGCATCTTCCAGTATGTAGCCCAGACCCACTGATCGCCGTGGTCTCGGTTTTGTAGACACTGTGGCGAGCTGCTTGTCTGAATCATCCTCTTCCATCTGAAAGACAGATTAATTTTTTCTTATTTATTCAGCTAATAAAAACGCAGAAAACAAATCCACACATTAAAATTTAAATACAAGCATTTCTTCACATAAGATCCAGTCACGAGAACAGGCTTTGACAGGAGAGGGACATCTGCTCACCTTCGGACTCACAACTCGTCTCACTTCCACTTCATCGCCTCCAATAAAGTGAGGACCGGCCCAGTCTGCTCTGTCTGCTTCGTCCTCCGCAGAAAACCTCACATAGGCCACAGCCTTTTTGTTGCTCTTGTCGGAGATCTTGCTAATCTGTAATCCAAATCAACATAAGATTTCATTTTGTGACAAATCTCAGATCTTCATGATTACATTAGTCACTTATAAAGCTGTATTTTCTTCAGTACTCACCTTACACCTTGTGACAGTGCCCCATTCTCTAAAGTAAGCTTGTATGTATCCTTCATTCAAATATGGGTTAAGATCTTTTACAACCAGTCCATGGTCCTGTTAAATACCAGAAAAAAATATGAGCTTCATATATTTATACTGCAGCTTAGGTCAAAAAGAAAGTGACACTCCCTTTAGCCCAAGTTTAAGAATCCGAGAAAATTATTTACCAGTTCATAGTTTTTACCCAAAGCAGCCATGCATTTCTTTGGAAGGCTGATGTACACACTTCTTTTTGCTGCTTCCATGTTATCTGGAGGAAGAAGGAGTACAGAATTATTAAAATGATTTAAATCACATAATTCTGAGAATATTCTAAGAATTTGCAAAAAACTGAAAAATACTTTTTAATTTCTGAAAATTAGGAATATGTTGATTAACTATCTGAGTCTCTTTGCAGATGAGGAGTGAAATCAAGGATGCTTTTACTTACCAGAGTTCACTGAGCTGCTGATGTGTGTTGAACCTGCTCTACAGAGTAGACTGACTCTGTAACCTGCTGCAAAGTGCATTCATACAGTGTTGTTCTACATCACCTCCTTCGACTCCTCCTCCTCGCTGTGAATTTTGTAGAAATGATCTGAGTAACTGCCCATAGGTCACTCAACTTGTTCTGCCTTTGTTTTTGGGAAATGCCTAAAAGAAACAATGTTTCTAATTTCCCAAAAACACTTCAAGGCGGTCACTCAATCAAATAACAGTAAATGTATTTTGTCTTTGTACACAACACATTTAATATCATAATTCTGCATATAGTATACAAACAATATATGTACAGTATATATAGAGTAAAACAACAACAATCTTGGCAGAGATGGGATCAGAGGTGTCACTGATGGGCTGTTCAGCCACAACCTGAAAAACAAGAAAAACAAATATATATGAGATCCTTAAAACAGTGAAAAGATACACTGCATCCACAATAATATATACAGCAATGACACCACCCACCTTATCAATGAGAAACCAGACTATTCTGTTCACAAATCGCTTGCAGTTTGGTAATAAGGAACTTTTTGTCCTTACCCTCCTGTAAATAAAAGCAAAACATACACACAATATACACTGAATTCAATATCGATCTGCCATGCAGCTGTCATGCATTTTTAGCAATGCTAGCACAGAAGAGTGATTTGTACAGATTGTGGCGATCCCTTTGTAGTTTCTCAGCCACCACAACGTTTTCACTCATTAATTCAAATATCTTCGACATGGATTTGCACATAATTTGGTTCAGACCTTTATGTCCCACTCAGAATGGCCTCTAACTTTTCAATTTCATTTTTCCCTCTGGCGCCATCAGTCGGTAAAAAATTCAAATAGTCCAGTATGGTTTAATACTAATCTCATTCCAATCAGTCCCTATCGTTTTTTGTGTTTCATGCCAATCAGCAAATATTAGAATGGTAATATGCTAAAATGAGATGGTGGGCGTTTTAAACATTAAACATGTTGGCATTGTCATTGTGAGGATGTTAGCATTATTGCTAAAGAGGGCTAGCACTGCTCTAGACTCATTGCATTCTTTAAAGAAAATGATCATGCCTACGTTTTCAATTTGATTTTCCAACCGACTTATGATTTTCCTTTGGCCATCAACAACTTGGGCGTGAAAGTATATCACCAATCTGAAACAACAAAAAGCACAAAGGATCCATTTAAACTCAAAGAGCATAAATATAGATCATTTTTACACTAGGTCACAACTGTTAAATGTTTTCAAGGTCGCAGATTCTCAATATAACCATCATAATGCATTCAAAACTATAGATACAGTCACCTGAAGTTGCATTTTAATCTCAAATTCTATGCAAGGAGAATCTGAGGCTCTGCTAGCAGCATAAAATCAGCAAAACCTACATATCAAATTATAATATGGCAAAAGAAATGATTTTGGAAACTCACAAAAAGATTCCACTGGCGAGGAATAAGAAAACTGGGTTCTCCACCAGAGAATTGTAGACCCAGCCGAGCCAAGACAAGACTGGGTTGGCCTCCTTCAGCTCCTGGGCCCACATTTTCCCTGACTTAAACATTGTGTCGAGATTCCTGAAAGGTCCGCACCCTGATGAGGGTTTAATCCTGTGAATTTAAACAAGAGAGTATATGACGCAGTCTTGGACAGCAACACACTGATATATGAAAAAACTATGTTTGACATGGTTATTCTATTTTTCATGGTGTCAACAAGTCTATAAAGAACAGGACTATAATTGAGATTTTTTTGGCAAAACTATTCCTTTTGGAATAATAATTACTTTAAACAGCTTAGTGCTGCAGTTATAAGCAAACATTTTCTTTCCACTTTCTTAAACATTGCAATACAGATTTTTTGACATTGTCACTGATACCTTAGAAGATAGTTCATGGACCATGATTTACAAAAACAATAACTGATAAACTGATAGTTATGAGTGTGTGCAACTTGGTCCAAACACCTATCAGTGGGTAAAGATCTTTGTTTGTTTTGGTCTTTTCAAGGGATCTTTTACCAGAAAGAAAAGCAGAAAATCCTCAGCCTGTGTGAGTGGTAGTATTGTGTGTAAAATGTTTTACTGTCAGCAGGTGTTTAAGGAAATATGTGCTGCAGAAAGAGGGGCATTCACTCTTTTGGTGTCGAAACTTTGCGAGCATAAGATATGCAAATTTCACTCACGTCCAAATTGTATAAGTGACAACCACGGCAGCACTGACAAATGACGGGATACACAACATAGTGATGAACAGTGTTGTCATCTGACTGGCCCTCCAGGGCTTTCTGGGGGCCTGACAGTTTACCATCAGACTGCTCTGTTAAACAAAGCAGACAAACAATATTGTTTGTTACAAAAGACACAGCGAGCAACTGTGAGACGAACTTTGTAAACTGACCTTCTTGATGTAAAACAGCACAAGCAGTTTTATAATTTGCACTGCGGGTAGAAGTGGAGCAAACAGCACTCCGAGCCTGGGAAGAACAGAAGACCAGTTAATGTTTAACTCACCTTTCTTATGAATTAAGATGCTTTCCAAAATGTGGTGTAACGCTGTGTATTGACCAAGTAAGAGTTTGTCCATAAATGAGCTCCAGCACATTACGAGCAATGTCAAACACTGGCTTTCTGTTCCTTCCCCGCACTTGCTTGGAAAAGAGCCTGGAGGAAAGATGGCGGTTAGCTTAACTGAGAACAATGCTTTCAGAAAAATAAAGGTACATGACTTGCGGGCAGAGAACCAACTTGCCTCCACAGGAACTCTCCCAAAAAGGTGTAAAGCAACGTGAAGATAAAGTCCATCAGGAGCAAGCGATACACTTCTTGTCCCACAAAGTTCTCCCAGCACTGTGGACAACAGAGACACATAAATGTGGACAATCTGCGAAAAGTGGACTCAATGTTGTTTCACAAAAGTAGCATATCTGCTAAATATAGCAATATATCAAATTTTCTTTATAGCCCATATTCACAATCAAAATTTATCTCATAGTGTTTAAGTAGGAGCAACCTATTCTGCCCTTAACCCTCAGTTTAAAGTCAGGAAAAACTACTGAAACAACCCCCTTTTACCAGGGAAAAAACAAAACATAGAAACTACAGAGAGCCACATGTAAGAGTGCATAGATAGAACGGTATATCTGACCTCTACGTGACAATAAAAGTAAATCTTCTTCTTCTTCTTCTATTTTATGACTTATTTGTTGTAACAACATTCTTTACACCAACTACAAACTTTAATTATGGTGGTTTGAAATCGGACTGTTTGAACCTTGATATTCTGCCTTTCTGGTTCCACAGCTATTCTCCCCAGCCAGCGGTAACACAGCAGTCCAACAATAGTGATCTTCAACAACAGGTTCCTGAGAAGAATATGTTGAAACAACATAGTTTCCATTTGACAGAAGCAGCTTAAGGTTTCACTATAAAACATACAAGATGTGATAATCTTGTGTATTTTGTTTAATTTTATTGTTTTTGTAAATCTAAATAGTACTTGTTGCTTGTTTCATTTCTATTTATATGAACTTTTATAGAATTTAATTGAATGCAGTATATTTACGCCATTTCATAATGGCATTGTACTTTTATTTACCTTACTGGAGCACATTTTCAGTTTAGCCACACCTGTACACCCAATTTCAATATATGGGCTCAATGGTGTGGGGTGTATATGCTGTTATGTTCCAAAATTTGTTTTATGGGTTTCATGATTAAAATTCTGACTTTTTTTTATCCATTTGCAAAGCAAGCTTTATGATTCAAATATATTATGATAATATTTCAGCAGTTTCTTTTACTACCAATTTGTATTAGGAGACTGATCTCAAACACCAAATATATCAAATATGGTGCTTAGAGCTGTATCTTCCAAAATTATATTTATCCACTGAAAGCTCCAAATGAAAAGACCAAGTAAATAGTAAAAAAATAAGTCAACTTGTTGCCATCCATTGGTTTATCTTTAATCAAAACCTGTGAAAGAGAAAACTGTCTCTGTCAATGAAATAATAATAATCAAAGAACATTTGAAAGTACGTTATTGTTAAAAGATGAATGTTTAGTCATTATGAATGATTGTGATTTTTTTTTGTGTGTTTTTTCCATGGTTCTGTCTCACCTGAAAATGGAGACATGGACACAGACACTGGGTGAGTCATGTTTCTCGACCCACGCACACAGGTTGAAGAGGCCTGGGAGGAGCAGGTTGATGCCTGACACCACTGCAGACAAGAGAAGCCCCTTAGCGTCTCCAACGGGTTTAATGGTGGCCTGTGAAGGAACAGAGAATTCACAGCAGACCAACACCTTGTTGAGGAAAAGTAAAGTTGAATCAATCTTTTTACCAGGATTTGAATTTATTGATTGAATGATTTTATTAGTTCCATCTTGGCTTTTCCTGCTAAGAGGAGTCAAATTGGCTGCTGTGGAAAAAGTATGTTAATCTGCTTCACAGGCAATGAGCCAAGAATGAATTGTGTTACCAAGCTTTACTCCAATAACCCGTCACATAATAATAAGCCTGTTGCAAGGAAATCCCGACCTCAGAACTATATTTAAAATCTTTGAAATCCTAGAGATGGCAAAACAGTCGTACTTGATTTTATCTACTCGCTTCTTGATGAATGTTGCATTTGGAACAAGTACAGACTGCTCAGAACTCAGCGGCTCTGCTTCAGTAGTCACATACACCCCTTTTAGCCTTTTTATACTGGCTCCTGGTGATATTTGAGATCTTTGCATTTTTTGAGATCCTCCAGCAGAGACGTTCTCACTGTTACAGAGACCAGGTTGAGACCACAGAGCCCTAACTTGCACTGGGGGCTTTCAAAGCATAATAATTATAGCGTAACTGTGTTTATTATTATTAAGAATGCAAAACGCAAGTTTTTTGAAAGAAAAGAAAAAAAATCTGATGATGCTCATTTGAAGGAAACACGAGACAAATCTATATTAGGAATAAGCCTGAAAATGTCAGTGTCACTGTGTTATCTGTGTTTAAATCTTCGACAGTTCAACTTTGACTTCACATTTTGTTCAACAGAAACTTTTGAGAAGTGTGTTGCCAGATGGGAGGTCCCAACTTCTAAAGGACATGACGGGGGGAAACATTTTTTGTCCAACACGTATCTTCCTCTTATATTTGTATGTGTAACATTTCACATAGTTTTTCATAAAATAACAGGAAGAAAAAAAACATCTAGAACATCTGCTAGGACAGACAAAGGGGAAGTAAATAAGTTGCACAGGAAGGAACTTATTAGGGTTATTTTTGTAATATAGTGTTCATACGTTTTGCATATATACATGAATTCTGTCGTGTCTGGCTGCACTTCCGTTTTTGCACAAGTTTTCTCACACCTCTGACATGTAGTGGACCGCCATGGCGCCCAGGCAGATGCCTGCCAGACACATAGTCCACGCCAGCAAGTGTACGATGAGGCGGCAGAGTCTCTGGATGCAGCTCTTTTCATTGTCTCCTGTAATCATCTCAGACAGGAGCTCCTGTTTGAAAAAGCAGCGTGAATGATATTCAGCCAGCAACATTTGTGTCTCAGCTCTATGTGACAGCTGCAATTGATGATTCGATTTAGATATTTAAAAATCTTCCCCTTGTGAGAAAATGGCCACCTTTAGTCTGTTTGTGTGCAGGCTGAGAAGTCTGGCTGTGAAATGCATCATTAAAACTTATGATGTTTTTTATAGTGACTAAGCATTTGACAGTGAGCTCAGTCTGTCAAAATGATTGTTCTCAGTTTTACAGAGGATTTAAAAAAATAATGATATGTTCATTTTTTTAACGGTTTACAACCTCACATTAACGCTTCGGTTTGACAAGGAAACGAAAAATCATCGTCAGGGTTTCTGCCATCTATCCCTTTTCACATTAAAGTGAGTCTGAAGGAATATTTAAGTGACCACATACTTTGAGCTGATTGCTGATTTTTTCTGACTGAAATCTGACAGACGTCTTCTTGCTTAGTTTAAAGTCCCAGGCGCAGAAAACGTTGACTGCCAGATTACCATTCGACTTGAGGACGTGAAAACTTCTCCCAAAGGACTTGGAAATGCTGCAGGAACAATATAGCCATAAAACTTACAGCACATGTGGACTGGAATGAAATAAATGCATGAATAATTCTCTGGTGGTCAAACCTGTATACCAGGATGATGCAGATAATGAAGAAAGCAAAGGCGATGGTGAGGAAGTAGGCCGCAGGTATGTTGTATGGCACCGTGTGGCAACCATGGGTCGAATGAGTAGCATGACAAACTGTGATGTTGGTGTTGGTGTAGTAGCCATAAAACATCACACTCTGAGAGAGGTAGCCCTGCCACAGATAACAAGAGATCCGGTTCAAGAGAAAGGAATAAACATATCTACACTGCTCTGACCTAACGCCACCTCACCGTGCCCGTTAAAAGCTCAAGGCCAGTGAAAGTGTCCAGGTTCGAGTTATAACCAGGAGGAGGGTAGATGGCTTGAGGGATGACCACGAACAGGCCGTTGATGACGAAGAGCAGGAGGTTCAAGCACAGGAGGGTTCGGAGGAACAGGAAGTAGGAGAGCACTCCGGTTCCGAAACGTCCGCTCACCCTCTTCATGGCTGAATTCCACAGCTGGAGGGAACCGAGGATGGTGAGGCAGCTGAACAGGCAGTGACGACAAGTCTGAGGGGAGAAAAACACGAATGATGCACACAATAATTTATACCTCATTGCGAATAAGCACAACATTAATACTCACCCTTGAAATGCGCCCACAGTGACCACTGCGGCATGGAATATTTCTGCTGGTATATGAACCTTCAGCTATGTCACTGAAAGCAAGACGCCTAGTAAATGACAGGCGAGGGAGTTATTTAAAATGTGTTATCGCAGTTGTATGTATTCTATTTTATTGGCAACCTCATGTTTCCAGGGTCGCATGTACCTGTGCTCCATCTTATTGCCCAGGCTGAGTGGCATTGCCCGCAGCTTCCGCATGCCCTCTCTCACAGCGAGGCCTCGGAGGTCTGACACCAGCTGGTCCCTCTTGTTGGACATTTCTGCAGCATTATGTTTCCCTGTGTGGACAATGGAGAATACTCAGATTTGACTTTTTCAATGGAAACTTTCATCTCATCTTACCAATTGCTACAGAAGGTCAGACGACAACTTAAACAGTCAAAACACATTTCAGCTCACCAGTGGTGCAGCTCGGCATGTGAGAGAGGACTTTCTGAGTGGCAGCTGACCAGTGGTGCCTCCGCAGGGATGTGATCTGCTCAGCATCAAGAGCCTCATCCCTCATGTGGTCACTTGAGGACGACCAGCTCTCTGAAATACATTTTCAGACAGAAACATTTTCAGAGCAGCAATAATTGTATTATCGTTCTGTATTTTTGCACATGTTTATCAGATGCAAGGATGGTGGTATATTCTCAGAATGCATCGTCCATACCCTTGAGTCCTTCAAGAGAGTTTAATTGAACACTGACCAGTGGAACTAAAGTGTAAGAGAACCATTTATCTTTACTTTGAATGGGTTGCAGGATCAACTTTTCAAAGTTCAAAAGATTTATGTTGCATTAAACTGTAAACAATCTGTATTTGTACCTGTGCTTTCAATCATATCCAACTGCAGGGTCTCAGGGGACCCCTGGGTGCTATCTGCTGGTTCACTGAGGATGAGGCCCTGACCTGGTTGACCTTCTCTGAGATTCCTGCAGGAGAACAACCAACGGAGGAACTTATAAGCACCGAGCACCCTCAGTACAGGAGCATGTACAGTTTCAAACAGAAGCTTAAACGTTTTGAGTTGTCATCGGCTGAAGCTGCAGGTACAGAGTGGCTCCAGTTTTCATACAGTACCTCAGATTTCTGAAATGTGCATACTGGCCCATCATTGTTGTGTCCAGACAAACAATTGATTTACATTTAGTGTATCTAAAAACATAAGTAAAAGAAGTTAAAAACCAGAAAGTCAGAAAGTGAACTTACTCATAGTCAGAATCAGAATCCATTTGACAAATGTTGACATTGAAGCTCATGCTGTGCCCCACGCTCTCGGATAATCAAATTTTACTGTAAATGCACAGCTCCCAGAGGATCACTCTTCATCACCTGAAATTGCATACAATAAAGGGCCTCCTCTGTTTATCCTCCCACTATGTTAAGTCAAGCAATCTTCACTGTTCTTTGTTGAAATCCTCACACGTCCTCCGTCTGAACCTTATCACCGAGCTGCTGGGTTATCAACCCCCTCGTCACCAAATGTCACAAATGTAGAGACGATGCAGATGAAAGACAAAGAGGATGGCAGCAGCAGTCAAAGTCTGGCAAAAAAACATCTCACTTCCTGTGTCTCTTAGTCTTCCCCCTTTCTCTCAACACAGCTGTGACTTATTTGCTATTGGTGCCCAGCATTACCTGCCTGCATATCTGTACACAATGTCTACATTAACATTTTAAGTGCATAGTGTTATTGAAAGTTTCACGTGGAAGCATTAGTCTGGTTTTAAGCTGTTTTATCAACCTGAAGCTACTTTGAACTGCAGTCTCTTGAAGTGAGTGCATTCAGAATCCTGATTGTTTACTGCCAGCTAGTGGCCACAGAGAGAAACTGTAATGCTAAATTTAATTATTCAAATCAGTGTCCATTCATGCAGACACAGAAGATAGAATAATGTGGTAAAAAAGAAAGAAAGAAGTGCAAATTAAAAGAAGACTGACAACGGATTCATTAATGAGTTTAGACATGGTAGATATTTTATTTTTAGATGTAAAGAGAGAGGGATGTTTTACATTTTCAAGTTTGTACATCACGTTGAAGATTGGCAAGCTAAAACGATTTAGGGATGAATATTTAAAGAAGGATAAAGTATGAACCACTTTATTAAAATTGAAAAAGGACAGGTGTGTATTTTTCCAGTTTGTGGGGCAGGAACAAAAGTGAAGGTGAAAACTTTAGCGTCCGCAGTTGACGAGGAGCACCTGAACGCACCGCGGCAGGGGGCGGGCTCAGTAAAGTTTTCAGGAAGCTTCACTCTGTCAAAAAAGAAACTGTCCAAAAGTTTGACAGGAAGTTTTCTGATCGTCCAGCGGCTCGAGCCATCGATAGCTCATAATCGATAATCACTTTCATTCTAGAAATGCAGCCCAGCGCTTACGGGGCCTCTTTGGCCGGTGGTGCTTTCGATGTGATGAACTTTGTCAGACAGCCTCAGACCATCCTGCGCTGCCTGAGCTGGGTGAGTGAGACCGTCACTGCGTTAGCATCACAGTTAGCACCAGGGTTAGCCAGCTGTCATCTGACCGACCCCGTGTGAACAGATGTGCGCTGCCGGGCTCGACACTGGCCGGCCAGTGACGCGGCTGCTCGGTGTAATGAGACCGAGCAGGAACAGGAGCGAAGCTTAAAACTTCAGATAAACATTTAATCATGTGTCAGTTTCGTCTGTTGCCGTCGCACCAGTTAGACGTTGGCTAACGTTAGCCAGCACGTCCTGTTGCTGTGTCACCGCACTAACCGCCACCAGATGGGGGATGACTTTGGCTTTTAAATAGCTTTTCTCAGTGATTCTGGTTTAAAAACGAGACCAGTGATTATTTCAAGTGTAGAAAGCTTGATGGGGATTGATTGATTCGGTCTCTGGTGTTTTCAGCCTCAGAAACCATCAGGAAATTGCACTCGTGCAGCCGCGTCACCTGTTGCGATGCAAACTTTTCCAACGCATCATTTCACCAAGATGGATGATTCACTTTATTAACAACATACAAACACTATTCAAACACTTCTGCACAGGGTCTACTTGTACATTCGCGTATTCCATCATCTGTTTATAGTTATTTGCTGCTGCTGTGTCTCTTTTATTTGACATATTTCGTAGTTTATTAAACGTAAAAAAAATAAAAAAAACTATTTAACACTATAAAGCAGTTTTTTGTGTGTTTGAGTCTAGTTCTTGAATCCAGAAAAACAAAACTGCAGAGGATTTAAGAACAATCAATAAGAGTTTGATTTGATTTTGTCAATTAATACTCAATTTAAGTTCTGAGTCCATGTTGAAATATCTTTATTTTGACTGATTAACAATTCTTAACCTAAAGATCTTCCATATGAAATTATATTAGACACAGAGAAGCAGGAAATCTTCATATATGAGATGCTTCACAGGAGAAAATGTACCACCTTTGCTTGGATAAACCATAACATGTAGTTGATAACCAAAATTGTTGCTGATTCATTTACCGTCAGTCATCTAATCGACTGATGGATTAATCTCCACTCTCAGTGTTGAAATAGATCAGGGTTTGAAATTCCCCTGGGTCGTCTGCTCAGCTCCACTGTGTGAAGTGGCTCAATAGATGTTTTAACATAATTTGACTTTTGTTTCCTTTTTATGGTGAAAGCTTCATTGTGATGGGAATCATGTGATGGGAAAGGAGTCACGCAGCCCTGCAGCTGCTTTTTACTTCCTGGCATTAACCCTGTGTGTCTCTTCTCTGCAGTTGTTTTCCATTGTTGTATTTGCAACTATCACAGCAGAGGGCTACATTAACTCAGCTGAACAGCAAGATGCCAAATGCATCTTTAACAGCAACGAGAGTGCCTGCAGCTACGGGGTGGGAATCGGAGTCCTGGCCTTCCTGGCTTGCGTTGTCTTCCTTGTTCTGGACGCCTACTTCCCACAGATCAGCAACGCCAAGGAGAGAAAATACATTGTCATAGGAGATTTAGGCTTCTCAGGTGAGAGTCTGGTTTCACTGGAGTTGTACTAAAATAAAGCAAATGTACCCAAAAACAGGAAGTGCAGCAGTTCAGTTAAGGTAAATGTTGTCATCGTATTTTGTTGTGACATTTGTGAGCTGTATTGTTTGTTTGTTTTTATAGCCGCTTGGACATTTCTGTGGTTCATCTGCTTCTGTGTCTTGGCAAGCCAGTGGTCCCACACTCCCGATCAGTCTGCTCTCCCTAGTGATGCTGCACGGGCTATTGTGGCCTTCTCCTTCTTCTCAATCATCACCTGGGTAAGCCCCTCATCCTCTTGTCCTGGGGTGGTTGTCATTTGACTAATAAAGGTTTTTAATTTGAGAGCACAGAGCTGAGCTGGTTTAAAGCTGAGGGCCGTGAAAACAATACACTCACTGTCTCACACTTCTCTCAACAGGCTCTCTCGTCCTACTTTGCGTATGCACGGTATCGTCAGGGCGTGAATGACTTTGAGCAGGACTACAGAGACCCAGCTACCGACCACACTACTCCATACCCACCAGCCCCTTACCCCAGTGGTCCCACAGGCTACCAGCAGTCACCTTTCTCCCACAATCAGGAGCAACCAGGGGACTACCAACCTCCAGCTTATTGAAGGACTGAGATTCAAACGCATGAAATGAACAGGGGAGTTTTCTTTTTTTTTTTCAAGTAAAGACATGTGCCAATGTTTTCATTTACAACCTGGATGCTTCTCTGCACTCCAATGTTCTTCCTGCAAAGGTGTTTGCATATTTTTGGGTGCACTGATGCATTTTAAGTTCGTTCCGATGTTTTAAGTTTTGGTCGATTTTGGCTGTTGGGTTCACAGTTGTTCACACACACACACACACACACACACACACACACACACACACACACACACACACACACACACACAGACAGCAAGTGAACTCTAAAGATCTAATCTTTTTAGGAGATGTCTTGTTAAGAGTAAAGATGACTGTGCCATTGTTTCTTTGTACCAAAACATTAGTAGTTCTTCCTGTGCTCCTTTATTTAGTTTCATTTTTGAGTGCAATTTGAGAGCTGCTAATGTCAAAGCACAAATCAACAAACAGTTTAGGGATATTTTGTTGTCTGGAAATCTGCTTTGCATTGTTCAGATGCATAAAAATTTTTTTATGAATATGTTACTGTTAAGTACACATTTTCTTGAATGTCAAATCCATTTGCAGCAGTTTAAAACAGGAAATCGGTCCCTTTAAAATTTTCCTTTGTGCGTTTTTGCTCATAAAACAAACCCACGTTATTTAATCTATGGGTGCCTTGAAAATGTTACCTCTGTAACCACTGTTACGCCATGTTTTTGTTAATTTTTTTAAATCACCAACCACTGAAAAAATGGCTTTTATGCACTGAGGCTGGGAGCAGTTAATTTCCTATATCTGATTTAATGTTAGTTGTGATGGTTTAAATCCAACATTTTAGTTTATTATTTAAGGGGGTTTATTTTTGAGGTAGCCAAACCATTTCTGTCTGTTACCTCTGTAGAAGTCCATGTGCCTTATTTAGTTCAGTTTCACTTTTTATTCTTTAACTGATTCATCACATGTTTGATTTCAGGAATTCTGCAGTGTTGTGGAAAATGAAATATTTATTATCCTACCTAATCCTTTCAGTCCAGGTGCATGACAATCAAACCATTGTTTTCAACATTTCTTTTCCCCTCTTGCTTTTCCTTGTTTGTAATCGTACCTTTTTACACATGCTTTACAATATTCCCCCATTGAAGTGCCTTATACAGTTCTCTGTATAACACAAGGTGTGTCAAATAAAAACTGATCTGGTTTTGAAGCTCTGGTGATTTATATCCTCCTGTAGAGAAGGAGCCGGACTCTGCAGGGCTGTGGTCTCCCTTGGTAAATATTTGAGTTGTGATTGTGTCGGTGAGTGTAGGAGACCTTGTGGAGGGTGTAGACGGCACCATAATGGTGCAATGACAGACAGCCAGTGTATTGTATGTATGTTTTACATAAGAATGCTGTATGATTCATATATTCTCACATATCTAGACTATAAACAACATAAACTCATTGAACTAGCCAACTATCTACATTGAGAGTGCAGCTAAACACGACGAAATAGATTCATAGAAAGGGAATAACATTTACCATAAGAATGGGTGATTTTTGTTTTCATTTTGATCCAAAGTGTCATATTTCAGTCATTAAATCCTGGAGACACAATTTCCCCACTGACGGGTGCAGTTTAGCAGAAAAGCCACAAAGCTGTGCAACATGTCAAGATTACATTTGTGTGGTCATTTTGCATCTCTTTCTTAACATTTTGGATTTTTGAGTTTTTCTGCAGACATAAGACCCGGGGTCCTCTCACCCTTTGGGTCCCTGGTCCATTCACTATTCCACACTTGCATGCTTATTATCCTATGCTTCATTTCAAGTAGCCTGAGACGCTCTTGGCTACACTTCTGGGGAGCTGCCATGTCCTTCACCTCTATCTACAGTACGGTTTGGTTTGCAGTTTTCATATTTCCGAGTGCACGCGAAGGCAGCGTTCCACAGAGCCTGTTGTATCCAGGGCGCGCGCAGGCAGTGCACGGTGCCGTCGTCATCGGTATACAGGAAGTAATGATCGCGTCTGTGCTGATCGACTCTACGGAGGAAGAAGGAGCCGAAGAATACTGACATGTGAGCTGCGGATCAACATCTAACATCTGCGGTGAGTGAGTGAGTCTGCCCACTGAGGTCTGCTGGCGTGTGTGTGTGTTAACCTCTGTGCTGCAGGCAGGGCAGGGACACCAGCTAAAACACACATCCAACACACAAACATCCCACTTGCAAGTGTGTGTGTGTGTGTGTGTGTGTGTGTGTGTGTGTGTGTGTGTGTGTGTGTGTGTGTGTGTGTGTGTGTGTGTGTGTGTGTGTGTGTGTG